GAACCTCTTATCTTGTCAAAGTGAGAGTGTGGTTGCTAATTGGTTGAGTGAGTCAAAATATATAAAAACAATCTTTGCTTACCAACACTTGGGCTGAACGCGTAGTAGACCTTTCCGTCCGACCACAATCCAGGACTTGATATGTTATCCTCGTCCTTTTTGAAAAGTTTAGTTCCTATCTTTCCTATTTGTGTTTCCAAATCATCATTTGATTGGAGTTCATCGGACATTGAATCAAATGCCGCTTTATCCATTTGGCCATCAATTCCTAATGAAAATGACATGAATTTTAGTACCGCGAGTAAATACGGGAAAAGCGTTTCCTTCTGACAAGAAGAAGTTATACCGGGTTTACACTCGTATAAGTTTCTTTTTCTATAAGTCTTCTATATAAGTCTTCTATTTCCAGTCTTTTGAAAGCAGTCAATACGGACGTGTGACCCGACCTCCCAGGCTATTGTCTCTCGCACTCTGCATTATTGCGTATGACTATGGTGTTGAATGCGTGTTAAGTGACAACTTGCAACAACCTTTTAGTGCATATACCTGAATCTTTCTTTGCTATTAGATTTTTTTTATTCGATTCGTTGGGCCATGGCCATGTTCCTTGGTATTGACCGCCTGCGTTGGCTAGAAAATAGTTCACGACATATTTGTTATATCTATGTTTACTCATTTTGTTTTAAAGCATACGTTTTTTGAGTTTAAAAAGTGGCAATGCATAATCATGTGATCTGGTGTGTTAAGTCAAACGGGATGAGAGTTGGCAGTGACGTATTGTATTAATATCTATAGAGATTATAAAAGAATAGAGTAGGCATGGCGGAATGAATTCAGTCGAACGAAAGGGGCAAATTGAACCTTTCTAATGGGCCAATTAAGCTCCGGATGTAAAATGACGTTGCTATACGAAGATTTTAATGTAGCCATTTGGCGTTCGACCTTACATGCAGGACTTGCAAAACCCTCTATTATAGGAAGCTTTTACTTGTCCTCCGATTTGTTCCTGCAATCCCCACTGCATGTATTCCTTTATAATCTCTATATGCTTAATATTATGACGAGAAATGCAATTGAAGTTGTTCTCAGATTTGTCAACATGTGATGGACGTTTGCTATACTGCATCATTTAAATTAATTCTAAATATCATACGTACTGTAGAAAACAGAAACAAACAAGTATAGTGGTTTGGTTGGGGGATGAGGGGTATAGTGGAAATACATTCACTAGTATAGTTTTGTGCATGATTACTAAACAGAAGAAAATATAACTGCAATTGCAATTTTGTTTTTAAAACTATATGAAAATAATCTAAGCATTCTAAGGAGAAAAGTCATATACATACCTCTTGCCAAATCTGACTTTAAATTTACAAAGATTAAGAGACCACACAGGATAATAAAGTCAACTTGCATCTTTGAAAATTATGATATCTATAAACATAAAATAACTAAAATGAACACAGCATTTAAAAATCTACAATCTGATTAAAACACAGCAATTATTGCGTATTCATTTGCAGGATGAAGTGGCTGTTGTTGTCACATCACACATGCAATTTTCCCATTAAAATTTTTCATGAAATGGGGTCTGCATTTAGATTGCACACAGTTCGACTTTATCCATTAATCTTAGAAACTGGAGGAAGATGCATGAGCCACAAAATTAAGAAAAGGTAAGTTTGGTATTAAATTTTACCACATTTGTTTAAAGATAAAATGTTATCTCTATGTAAATCTTGATTGAATTATTTGATAATTAATCAAATGAATTAAAGAACTTATTCATCTTCAAAGTTTTGTGCTGTTTCTCAAATGCTTTGTATATTTGGAACTTGTATATTTTTCTTAAATGTATAAACATATAACACTAAATAACAAGTTGATTGCATTAAACGCACCAGTTGCCATGAACTTAACTTATCTTTTATCTATGTTAATTAACAAAAGAATAAATACTATATACTCAAACCAAAATAATTCTTTAGATAATAACTAAATTAAAGTAACATACCTTTTTAAAATAATTCACACAGCCATAATAAGATACAAAATTTAAAAATATAATATCCAATGCGATCGCTCTATATAGTCGACTCGACTAACCCATCATGACACTTACAAGTCAGTCCACCTTCCCATCATATCTTTGTTCGCTGTGATCAGTATGTCTCGGAAAAGGTTAAATATTCTCTGGTTTGGTTTATGTATAAGGAAAAGACATGAAACTGTTTAAAATATTAAGATTGGTTTACGGTTTGGTCGCGAGACAGAATTTTACTTTGTTTTCATTAAATTAAGTCAAGCGAATAATCGCCATTACATTGGTACCCGCTGTAGCGAGTGAAAACAAAACGCATGCACGCGTATCTTAAACTTTTAAGTCTGGTTAATTTATTTTTAATCATGTTTTCGAAAGTGGTAAGCTACTGAAGATGATGCTTTGGGCCTTATAGCGTCCTTTACCAGGCATTTCTTCTATTTTTGAAAAACAGCATAACTATCAAATACTTACTATACGACATGGGCGTACCGGAAGGAAAAATGTAGGGGGGCGGAAAGAAATTTGCCCGACTTTTCCGGATTTCGCCGGACAAGTACCCCAAAAATTTTTTCCGGAATTTATTTTTGCGATCACCTTCCCCCCCCCCGTCGCCAAAAAAATTTCGATCAGTGTAGCATTTTAGGGGTCAAAAAATTTTTTCGGACATACCAAAATTTTTCGGAACATAACAAAAATTTTCGAAACATTACAAAATTTACCACAAAATTTACAGAATTTGCCCATTTATTTTTATAATTAACCAAAATTGCCCGACTGTTGAGCGAATATTGCCCGACTGCCCAACAAACTAGGGGGCTGCCGCCCCCCCCGTCCGGTACGCCCATGCTATACGACATCGGAAAAATTCGGTCCCGGCCCGTACACAAACTTGACCAGAGACCAGTTCCATTTATTTACATCCACGATAATTCGCACTCCAAGAGCTGTGCTCGTATTCGTCTGGTTTCATGCATCTTGCATGCGCGCGTGCGCTCGAAAATCGTGGAAATTAAAGTACGGTTCCAAGTTACCGCGGTCCCATGCTCGGAACCTATATATAGGGAGGGACTTTAAGATAGCCGACTACAAACCACAGAATACGGTCAGTAATAAATTGCACATAAACTGCATGAGTCGAGTACGAATAGAACATGCAGCAGGACTACATATAGCTTAGTCTATACATGCACGGTTGGAAACGTTTTTTAATTTTTGTAGTCGACATGTTAGAAATCACATCTCGCCGAAATTTACAAAACCTGAAGATTCAAGCAATTTCAAAACATCTTCCAAGTCATATTACTAGATTACATTGGTATCGAAGGAACTAGATTCTGTTCCGAAATATCACTTACTCGAACCGTCCTGACCGCGTAGCTCAGTTGGCAGAGCATTTGGTGTATTTACCCCCTACACATATTCCCACCGTGGCCGGGCATATTTTTCAAGCTCGCCCGGTGTGGATATACACTCTTCCAAGTCGTCTTAATGATAAAAAAGTTTAATTCTCAAGTTTAATTCACAAAGCCTGACCGTAGTTGACACTACGAACAAGAACTTTCCAGCTCATCGACATAGCTTGGCTATAGTGAAAACATTAAAGGATTGTGCATGCTTATTATAGTGAAACCCATGACCTGTGTGAGTGCATAGATGAAAAAATAGTGGAATCATGATTTGAGACGATAGCCTATTTCTACTAATGTTTCTACGGTCTGAAAATGGTCTCTGACCAACTCTAACACCCACCTATATTTTGTTCCCATTTTAAACTTGTGAACAACGCTAACATGATTATAGTCTATGCATGGAACTACGTATATTATTATTCTACCATGGTGTTGGTTCGCTGCAGTCAGAAACAGAAAAAAAGAAGCATAGAGTTTTCGTCAGAAGAGTAATTTCAAAAAACGAAAAGAGCGCGTCATTTTAATAGTAACATTACGAAGGCAGTCCGACGGAAAGAAATAAAAAATAAAATAATAGTGACAAAAACAAAACAAGATGTAAAGAGCATACTGCAAATTTGTGTAGCTGATGTAATTGCATGAAAAATGTGAGAAGAACTTCGACGTTTCGATCGAACGCCTTTCGTCTGGAAGCAAGACCGGATTTTGGTGGAAATAGTGGGGGAGGTGGAAACGACCTCCATAGAAAGTTAGGGCTTACTGTAGAAAGGGCCAAAGTCAACGACGTGACGTATGCATGTAGTGTACATATGTATATGTATCAGTGTATTATTGAATTATGACTGTACGACTCATCCAATTTTGCCCTTCATTACAATTACTACAAAGTTTCTTTGAAAACATTACATTCAAAGGGTATTTGACACAGAGATGAATGGCTACATATCACTGTTTCATTTTGTTGGCCATCTGCACTGTTTGATTTTGTTGTTGTCACGTTATTTTTGTTCTTGGTATAATCTTTCACTTGTTTTGCATGCCTTTGTATCCTTACTATAAAAAGTAGCACTTTTATTTTAACTCTCCTGACGAAGTCTCGCAGACTGACGTGAACCTGCACCAAGAGTTTTTTATTTGTACCCGTGGCGTAACTTTGGGCTGAGGCCCCGGCCTAAACTGCGACGCTTTGGGTATATACAGCTCAGGCGAAAAATTTGGCAATATTTCAGTTTAAGCATTTATAAAAGTACAAATAACAAAAACGGGACATTGCACAGTCCTTTAAAAATACAAATTTTCTGTTTTTATGTTATCACGTCTAGAGCCATGCCTAGAACTTGTAACAATCACTCAGAAAGTCCAAATTTGACATTTTGTTATCCAGGCTTAGAGGAGACCCATAATGACTAAGGGCCCCTGGCATTCGCCGAGGGCCACCCAAAGGAGTTACGCCACTGATTCGCACCATGACCCACGTTGAACCCCTATGTATGTATGACTATTAAAACTAAGCTACCAAATGTAAAATAAGTTCCAATGCATCCAGGTCACTTCTTTGGTGGGAAGACATTCTGTTCAAATGAGCCCATCATGTTGCCAGCAGGTCGATAGCGGCCTACAATATATACACTACGACCATCAGATGACTTGGCCCAACCCATGCCAAGTTCTGTAGAATCTTTCCAAACCACCTGAAACGAAATTTTGATATTCTAATTTGAAGCTTCTCAAGTTCACAATGCCAAGTGTAATATCGTCCTATTGAGTGGTCTCAGAATAGGAAAGGGAAGATCGTCTTTGGCAAACAACGTGTGTCACACAAAACGTACAATTGCGCGGAATAACTCAAGCATCATTACCAATAGTCTCCCTCGCAGACGTTCTTATATAGCTCTAACCCTCGCTATAGCGAGGGTAAGAGCTATAAGAACGTCTGCGAGGGAGACTACATTACCACCAACCATGTATTGTTATAACTACATTGCCTCAAAGCGTGGCACGTGAAATATGAACATGTGTTTCTTGGATGGAAATTGAGAAAAGTTAAGAAGTTGTTAAAAGCTAAATGTTACAACGCAGTTTTAGTAGTCAGTGAGTAGATCTAGGTTTTTGCATACCATCTTTTTATGGAATCTACAACTCGTATATGATATTGTGGAAAAGGATTTGTTCATTCTGTATTTTTACCTGTGTAAAATGTCCTGTTCCACTTGTAAAGCTAGCATTTTTATACTGATATTTCTTCTCTTCGTTGTACCACATGTTGACTGCGTCCTTGGCAATATCACCGAATCTATGAGAACAACGGAGAAAATTAGCTCCGTATTTTTGTCCATATTATGAAAGTTTAGAGGATTTAATTGCTGCAACCAGATACAATATCAGATATGTTTTGCCGCTCTCTGGTTTAATCAATATGAGAATTTGCTTATTGTATTATTTGAACCAGAAACTGACAATGTGGTCCTAGTCAGGTTATCATGACAGGGAGTTTAGCCAAGCGGAGGGGGGGGGGGGGGGGGGGATTAAAAACTGTGTTTGTATCTTTTTGTGGAAATTTTCAACAGATATGACAAAACATAACACGCCTGAGTATTAACTAAACATTACACGGCTAAAAACGCACAGGTTGGTGCAAGTTGATATCGACAGACGTGAACAATGTTGTGCGGCCAACTATGAACAAGTTGTCAACCATGTTATTCCAAGTTGTTCCAGTTGAACAATGCTGTAACAACATGTTGACAATACTGTTCATAGTTGGCCACACAACATTGTTCACGCCTGTCGATATCAACTTGCAACAAGTTGTTGATTTTCTTAATTTTTACGCGTGTAGGTTTCACTGTCTTGTCAGTAAAAATCTTGTTATCTTACTTGCCGCCAAAGTAAGCTAAGTTTTCACCATTTCCTTTTCTCTCCTGAGACGTTGCGTGACGTAGTGTATTTTGGCGGGCAATTTTCTCGGCCCAGGCTTGTGCGTCGCGCGCTAGCTCGTTACTCCAACGCATGTCGGATACTTGATGTAAACGACGATATTGGTTATGCATCTTTAGACCATCCTCTTGAAAGGAACCAGATGGTGTGGCATTCTGCGGGCTAGCATTTCCCAATGCTACAGGCTTTTCCTCATCCGATATATGCAATGATTTTAGTTGAGGGACGCCCATTTTGTCGCCGATTTCTGTGGACTTCGTTTGACCGTTCGATGAAGTAGTAGTCCATGTGGTGGTACTTTTGACGGTCTTCACACCCTGTGGAGTGTGGGTACGTGTTTCCTTGACGATCACGCGTGTTTGTTGTTGGCCTGGACTGCCCCACGAACGCTCTACCACACGGGATTCATGTTCCGCTCCAGGCTGTCCAGAGGCCTTGATGAAAGATGGTGGATCTTTTGATGTGCTAGAAACAATAGGATATATTTAAAGTGCATGTGCATCGAAATTGCAGACCATTTTGAATTGTAAAGAAAGTCTAAAATGATCAAGCAAGATATTTTGTCAATTTTCACTGCTTCGTTCTGTACATATTTAACAATGTTTCACATGCAAATAACCATCGTTGTGATATCACATTGCTTGCTAGTTTGCAATGAAAAGTACAAAAACCTTCAATGGCAATCGAACGTGTCGAAATATAGCATTTGATGTTTGTGGTATGTCGAAACTGAGATGCATGCATGGTTTTATGATTTTCATGCACAATTTTCCAAGATGTTGAAAACTTTTTACCTAAATCAAGGTGACATTGCTGTGATGGTCATGGCGTAGTGATGTTATATATATTGCTTATAACATGAGTGGCTGTGTTGTATCGGATATATAAAGTATTAAAGTTTATGTAAATTAGCATGATTTTGTATCAGATATACAAATTCCTTCACCCTCATGATCTCTTTTGACAGTTTTGTGTTTTCTTCACGAATTATTAATGAGCTTCACAAAAGTAATTACAGATCGAAGAAGGTTAATTAATTAATTAAGAAAGTTTGGCAGAGTACTTCAATGGTCATTTAATATTTTTGGAAAGATTCAATATCATAAAGGGAAACATCGTGCACGCATAGACAAGGGCACTTGCACACGGATTTGACGAAAATAGCAAAGTTTTTTGTTTTGCATATATTTCAATATTATTAGGGAGTGGTTGATATGAGTCCAAAAACAAGGAGCCCAAGTCACGTACAATATTCGCAAATTTAGCTCGAGGCTTCACTGCTTTTAATTACCATTTCCTGCACACAATGGAACCGATAGTTAAATTTAGAAACAATTATTCACCTCTTAAAAACGTTTCCTTCGAAGTTACCTAACATGTTGCCTGCTGGACGGTAACGACCAACTACATAAGTGCTTTTGCCATCCGGAGACTTTGCCCTAGCCATGCCAAGCTCCTTGGAATCCTTCCAAACAACCTGTGGAGTTATAAATTCAATGCACACACTGAAGTTAGTGTCCTAACTTCCTGAAACGGATAGAAACGGCACGTATAGAATATTTTTAATCCTTTTCATGTAAGTGACTGCACAGAAACCTGTAGAGCTGTAGATATCTTTCCTTACAGCTAGGCCACTCAAGCACGTTCGAGATATGCTAAAGTTCACTTGTCATATTTTGGAAATGTTTCTCAACGATTTATGGGAAAACCTCTTTTATAATCTCTTTCATCAACTGTAAATCCTTTTGCTGTCCCCTGTTACTACCCACTTCTTAGCGAATTAAAATACGATAATAAATGATAAATATCACTGTAAAAAATTTTGAAAATCCATAGAAGGTCATAGAATGGAAATTGTATGGACCTTTATTGGAAATAGAATGGATTTTAGTTATCCATAATAATTGTATATTTCCATAGTGTGGATATAGTATGGAAATGGTATGGATATACTATGGATATAGTATGGGAATAGTATGGATATACTATGGATATAGTATGGGAATAGTATGGATATACTATGGATATAGTATGGAAATAGTATGGATATACTATGGATATAGTATGGAAATAGTATGGATATACTATGGATATAGTATGGAAATAGTATGGATATACTATGGATATAGTATGGAAATAGTATGGATATACTATGGATATAGTATGGAAATAGTATGGATATACTATGGATATAGTATGGAAATAGTATGGATATACTATGGATATAGTATGGAAATAGTATGGATATACTATGGATTTAGTATGGGAATAGTATGGATATACTATGGATATAGTATGGAAATAGTATGGATATACTATGGATATAGTATGGAAATAGTATGGATATACTATGGATTTAGTATGGGGATAGTATGGATATACTATGGATTTTGTGGTGCAATTGCATATTTCGTAGTATGGATTTCACTTTTTTTTCCAGTGTATATTGCGTTATTCCGCTTTAACAACATTTCACCTCTTGGGGGCCCACAGAGTTGCCTGATGAGGAGGCTATTACCACCCATGGTTGTCAATCATTGATCGTACACCACCAATAGATGGAGTTTCTTCAGTATTAAGCATTTGTCATCAATGGTTGATGATTTTTTATTATGCATTAATACTGAATTAATTAATATAGTTGGTGATCATTGATGATAACAATCATTGATTGTTAGCATTTGTCACTAACCATCTATGTGAATGATATACCCTTTACTAACTTTGCATTGTGATTGGCCAGTGATTCTCATTATTTGACGTTTCAGGCAAATGAAGAAGATCGATCAATAGACAAGAACAGTGGAATTGGAATCAAAACAAGTAAGCAGCCTATACAGTGTATGATACAGTAGAACCCGAAAAATGCGTAACCTTGGCTATTGAGCCTCGTTTTCATGATTGAGATGTTAGCCTTTAACTCATGTCGCATACACGAAAACGAGGCTTTATGTAGTCAAACTGATAATAATTGTTATTAAATTATTAAATGACAACTGATCCAATGTTGATATACGACTTCTGTTTGTGGAATATATGGTGATAAACACTGTCGCGGTACAGTAATAATATACGTGGTATAACAAGTATTATATAATACCTTATTGAATTCTGATCGTTTAATTGGCTGTTTATGGTCACGTGATATTGAATAGAAAATTCCATTTCCCAAGAGTGCAATGGAATACGTTCCATTGCACTCTTTGCGAGTGCAATTGGACTATTCGTCTTATTCCATTGCACTCTTTGTGTTTTCGATAAATCGCATCCGTCAGAATGCTTCTCATACGAATCTATTAGTCTATTTTGGTATTATATAAAACAAATAATGAATGTTTATTCGTGCAATGGTAAGAATATTTGTCGCCTCGTTGAATGGAACATTCCATCTTTCACCTCATGAAAATATTCTTACCATTGCACTCATAAACATTCATTATTTGTATATACTGTCAAGTGTATCCTAAATGAGAAGCAATCCGCAATATTAGCTGTTTTCTTACCTCAGATTGCCTGGATATTTTGTCAAAGTTCGTTCCGTTTTTAACAACTCTGTATTGACGTTGTTCTACTTTGCTTTGCCAACTCATTTTGCTATAGCTTTCCTCTGCTAACCTAAGTATATTGTATTCAAAAAAATTATATCTTTAATTCCACACTAAACTTGGCGAAACGGCAAGTTATTTTAATATAGTTATACAGACTTATGCTTATATTTATAACATTGAGCACGTGTCTGAAAATTAGCTAGTTGTTTTGACATTATGACAAACCACGTTCTCGAAACCTTTCATGCCTCTTGACAACTCGATGAAGCAATCATTCTTATCAATTCTACTTCTTTAACATATGAATTATTAATTTAAATTACATAGGACATTTTATGGTTGTTTTGCGTTTTAACGAACCATAATTTTCAACTATTTTTTTAAATTTACCTTTCAAAACGTATAACAATCTAAAACACTCCAGGTTCTCCTAACCAGATTTACTATGTGTGATGGTAATTCTAACCTGGTACCTGCATGTTTGTATCATTATCTAGCATCGTCTGGTTAGAATTCAACCAGGATGCATGTCCTGGTTAAAGCAATCTAAAGATCCTTTCAAAGATAAATAACTATACCTGGAAATTTAAACGGATTCAGAAAAACAAACTTGAATCAAATTGTGTTGTTCTAGATTAACCAAGCAATTTTAACCAGATTGTTCATACTTGCATGTTCTATGCATGTATACCATTAAATTTGAAGAATATAGGTGCATGCAGTTCAACGAATTGAACATTACATCGCTATATATAGAATTGACATTATTGAATGATGATATATACTATATCTATTATCGTTCTATGGAAGAATATAAACATCCAAGGTCGATATAGTTGCACGCAAACAACCGCAAAACAGTTCATCCAAACTTCCTTTTTTCCACGTCCAATATAACACTTCTTGCTCTAGTTAATACTAGTTTGTGTGTTGCAACGTAATAGCTGACGATACTCAATATTTTACAAAGGAATTAATAATAATAATAGTTTAAAATACATTGTATATAAATGTACATAATGTACACTAAAATAGGTGACCTGTTAAATGTACAGTATCTACAGGGTGTATCAAAAAACCGCAACCTCGGAATTTCCCAAGAAATCGACATTGTTTTAAAGACAAAAGATTTTAGGCGCCTGGGAATTTAAAATAGCACAGCTAGTCAAAATTACTGCACACGCGAGTGCACAAAGCAAAATTTATGCATTTATTTAATGCACAACAACAGTAATATGATCTATTAGCAATTCGATTTCAATTCCCAGGGGCCTAAAATCTTTTATGCTTAAGAATTGCAAAGTGATTTCTTAGGAAATTCCGAGGTTGCGTTTTTTTTTATACACCCTGTATAGTGTAACTCTTTAAGAATTTAAATTTATACCATTAAAAGTGTTTTTCTTCTAAATTAGCAATATCTTATTCTTACTTAATTTCGCGATTTTTTAATTTTCAAATTTCAATTGTTCCTCATTTAGTCTTCGCCGAATATGCCTACAATCTTACGAGACAAAACCATTCGGACAAGCCCATTTCTGCATCTAAACTATATAAACATTTCTAAGAAGTCATCCTTCTTTCGCTGAAATGCAATATTGATATAGTAACGAAATATCTGCTTGATATATACGGCGAACGTTAGATCAAACAAGAGGGGGTCTGTGAGGATTGCAGCTTGCATAAGTAAAAGATCTGTGTTAGGTTGATAACCTCGAGCTCTATTAATATATGATGCTGCCCGCATGAATTGCATCTGAGCTTGTAGACACACACATTACTATATGTTTCATTGGATAAAATTACATTTGTTGTACATTTGTGTTGTTATATGCATTTCTCAAAATATTGTATAAAGATTTGGTTATTTTCAGTCGATTTGTATGCGTAACGAAACTAAAATTACCCCATGTGGTATATTTTGTCTACAGTATACCTATATATACACATTAATGTAATTATTTGGTTAAATCACATTTAGTTTATACAGTTTGTGATGTTATAAGCATTTTCAAACTTATAAATAATTTTTAACCCTAATGTTAATTCCATTTTACTTATATCAACACAAATATGATGATCGATATTCATATATAGCTATAATACTATTCTTCGAGATAACAATCAAATATCTGATTATATACATTCAACATTATATAATTACATTAGCAGTATGGTATACAATTATATAAGCTAAAATGATAGTTGTGGTTTTACCTTTCGCACTGAATTTGTAGAGATCTTGCAACGAGAACGACAATTCTAATATGTTTGCTATAGCCAGTTAACAAACAACGTGGGCGATATTTTGATTTATTCAGGTCGTAAAATGATACTTAATGTCGTATTTTTTTTGTAATTCAAATTTACACTTACAGTATATGGTAATTTGTTCGTACTTGTCACAACAAGCTAGTTGCTTCCTGTGAAGCTGGATACATTTTTCCCTTGATGTATCCGCCTTTCTCATGCATAGTTTGGAAGTAGCTTGAGGTCAAACTTTAGTCGCCTTTCTTTTTGTTTTTGTCGATTGTGATTTTTAAATGCATTAAATTTATGAACTTAGGGATGCTCAATAATCGTATTATTTAATATTGGATAGCTCGATATGTCAACAGTTCTAGACTGTTTTTCCCAAATGACGGTCGTTAGTGTAGATCCGTCGTTAGTGGCATCTCTCACACCTTACAGAGATGAAAGGCTCGTTCATGCACTAGCCTCTGTGCCATGAACTCCATGCATTAAATGAAATATTCTTTTACTCAAACTACAGTATATTTTGAATATTGGGTAGGCGAATTATGATGGATTTATAAAATATTTAGCCGGATTTCGACTGACCAATCACAATGCAAGTTGAGTTCTTTATGTAAAAATATTGAGTTATTTTGTCTGAAGCCATTCAACTAGCTCAAGAGTTCAAGTCGAAGAACTATGGCGACATGATGGAACTTTTTTTTTTCACAATATAAAATATTATAAGGCTTAGCCTTAGGCCAATATTAGAACGCGCCTTCTCGTCTAAGTGCTATCGTTGATGATCAGGTTGCGTTGGAGGGATCGAGCTTGAGTGTTTAGAGAAAGCAAACGAGATGGGCGGTGCAGACAATTAAGACAATATTAGCACACTTTCCTTGCTGAAAGATCAAGTCATAAGGATTTAGTGAAATCATTTCAGGTTGGAAATTGTCTTTGTCCACCAAACTGAAGACTGTTCAAGTCAGACAAAGAGCGCAATCAACGTAGATCTACGTTGATGTACTTCTTGTCGTCTTTGTTCTCAGGAATGTAGTCCATTCCTTGCATGCATACAAGCAAGTATAACGGTTCCAAATACTTGATATCCGAGCTTACACTCTAAAAACACTTTGGTTAAAATTTCCTGGTCAACTATAGAAATGTAACCATTCGGGTTAACTTTTGGCTAACTTTACCTCACTTCCTACCATAGTCGGGTTAATGTAACAAGGAATGTGGTTAAGGCCCATTTCCACTCAAAAAAATTTTCCGAAAATATCATTGTTAAAAGTTGAAAATTCAAAATTTTTTTCCCACGGAAAATTTGTGTCGGCCAATCACAATTTGTAAAATTTTCTTTCTGCGGATATTTTTCCTGAGTGGAAAAGATCCTTTATATGTTTGACCAGGACGTCCTTGTTAAAATAAACAGACTATGCTAGGTGGATATATAACCAGAGCCCCTGGTTATTTATCCTCCTATATACTGTAGGTCAAATTAACCAGACTAATGGTACAGGGAAAAGGTTAGAACAACCAGGAAATTTAACCAGGAATATTAAGTTAACCAAAATATGGTTATTTCTATAGTTTTTTTTTAACCACAGTGTTTTTAGAGTGTGGGTTTCAGGAAAATATGTTATAGTCCGGAATTTTCACAATTTGTTGCCAATTACAGGGGCCGGGTGTTCAAAGCTGGGTTAGCACTAACCCTGCATGGGTTAAAATTTAACCTGTTGTTTTAGTTTGTGTATTTCTGCACGTCTGTTTATTTCAAAACTTCAGAGAAGTAAACTCCTATCGATCCAGACAAGATCTCTGAAGAAATATTTCCAAATTTATAGACAAGCTGTCAGGAAGTTTGCTTTGAATTTTAGGTTAACCCAGGGTTAAGCTAACCCAGCTTTGAACAACCGGCCCCTGGTGTTAAAATATCAAATTTACATGACTATCTGACGTATCTTGTTGACCTCATACCTGAGTAAAATGTCCAGTGCCTGGTTGAGAACTCGGCTTTTCGAAATTGTATTTTGCAACTTCGTTATACCACATGCCTGTCGCCTGTTCAGCGGCAGTATCAAATCTATAGTCGGAAGTAATGGAAGAATAATTAGAATAACTGGGTTTTAGGAAGTATCAATTAATTCAATCGCAAAGAACGAAAAAATATACTGCTGCCTGGATGGTTTTAATTAGATTTTGCCAATATTATTGGGTTCGTTAATTGGCACTGTGTTACACGTATTTTGCTCAAAGTGGTTCTGCAGGTACTGGAATCCGCCACTTTAGCTAGCCGTAGAAGCGCGTGTTTGCATCACCACAACAACGGAGATAAAAATGTCGAAATGCGGATACTCGCAAAAGTGTTCTATTACGGTAATAAATAAAGATGCTCTTTCAAAGCGCGAAATAGTACAGTGATATTTTCTCGTAACAAAGTGAATCGTAACGTTTTAAATATTTGTTACACTTTACCAATATTTCAAAAGTAATGATACGAATTGCAATAAGCAAATTACTATGCTTATTGCAATGCCAATGGGAAGCAGAATCACAATACAGTACGAATGACATTGGAGTCCACCCCCGCTTATTAAAATATACATATATAACTACCGTAAAAGTATAAGACAATTTTAGTATATTTCAAAAGCAAGCAGGTTTTTCGTTTTCAAAGAAAGCCAAAATCCGCATTTCAACATTTTCAGCCCCGTGTCTATGGTGATGCCGACACGTGTTTCTATAAGGCTGCAGTGGCAGATTAAACATGCTACAAGTTCAGCCAGGGGGGAGGTCAAAAAAATTTTCCGGACTAATATAGTCAAAAAAAATTTTCTGGACTAATATAAGCTTATTCAAAAATTTTCGACCAATATCAGTAATGCCTCCGATTTTTTCACCGCAAACGTAACTGAAGCTTTAAAATTGTTAAAAGTGCGAACCATTTCATAACTTTTAACAACTTCGACCATCTTATATCCCAAACTTTTACCAAATTTTTCCGAGTTTTACTTTCAATTTTAAGCAAATATCAGTTCCATTTTGACCAACTTTGGGCAAATATCAGTTCCATTTTGACCAACTTTGACCAACGTTTGAATTATTGGGGGAGGGGGGGGGGGTGTTACACCCCCACATACCCCTATAGCGACGTCCCTGAGTTCGGCATGGCTGCCCGTAGGGCACTGTGGTTTCTGGGCATTTGATTTTTTTATTTTTTCATAAGTCAATGATCGCGGTTGGATTTTACTCGTACATACACCTGTATAGCCTAACTTGTTATTTTGTTCCAATTACCTTCCTGAGAACATTGCAATATTTTCTCCAGCGTTTTTTCGTTCACTTTTGCTCGCGTGTTGCAAGGTGTTGGCTCTAGCGATCTTATTGGCCCATTCCTGTGCTTCGCGGGCTAAGTCAGCGGCCCATGTTAGTGGGGGTACTTGATGTAATTTACGGCATTCGTTGTGGCATTGTAAGGCTTTCTTTGAGAAATCGTCTGCGAATAGAAATGTTTAAAATTGATTTGAGCTGAAACATTTGGGGTGAAAATATTTTGTTAGTAATATGTGAGACCTGGAAAAGAATAGGATCTGATTTGAAGCTGAAATAAGAGTGAACAGGGACAAATTTTACGCTGAACCACTATCCAACCGAGACAATTTCATACGTAATATAATTAGCCTTTCTCACGATGACGAATATCCGCCATTTTTGGTGGCATCTTATTTTCGTTAGCCAATACAGACAATTGAAACAATGTGAAAAGCAATTTTTCAAAATAAACTAACCATTTACAAAGCAAATTTACCATCATTCGTGTGGAGTTATCTCACAGACTTCCGCTAAAAAGCCGCCCAAAAATGGCGGCGTTAGAAAGGCTAATTGCATGCAATCTGCCGCAAGGGGTGTCGGACTGGATCGTATCTCATCCAGAAAGTAATTAGTTAGAAAAACTCTGTTACAGTTATTAAACTTCAGGTAAATTTTTACCATTGAAGTTCTAATCACTCAGGTAAAATCCTCTGACAGCCTCGCTGAAAGCAACAGTAACGCGTATATGGTGCTTATTGCATGGAACCCTGCATGGCAGAGCGGTTCAGAACTTACTAGATTATCCAATCGGAAAAATGTATACGTTAGTACTTACCCATGCTGATAAATGAATGAATTTAAAGTTGGTGAAACGTTTGAACAACTGTAGTTTCAATCTGGAAAATGAAACATAAGTTACTTATATAAGCGCGCCAGACAGTATTTTAGAGACTGAAGTACTGTTTTGAGTAATCTCGAACGGTTGATGCCGTGCACAGTAGGCCGGTAGAGACTATACAGGTGCAGTTTACTGACGAGTATAGATCGTAAAATCAATAGTTATAAGTATACCTGAAGTACAACATGCATACACGAGCTAATAGTTTGGCCAATATACATACCTAGCCCGAATTGTAAAACCCGAATTGTAAAACCCCAATATATTACCTGACCCGAATTGTAAAACCCCACGTTTTGACTGTTCTGAGCTACTATTTGTTGTGTTGAATGAAGAGAAATAATTTTTCATGATGATTTAATAGTTGATATAGTGACCGATCGCGCTCTGATTGGCTGGGCGTAGCATACATTATAATGTAAAGTTAATTAAACACATCATCTGACAAAAGCCTAACGCGAACTCTGTGAAAATCGCCGCTATGGTGACAAATTCATGAAGAAAATAGTGTTAGTAACAAAGAAACTACAGTATACAAATACAATGATAAGTTCAAACCCCACCGTAGTAAAAGATAAGATCAACTGGTATACCTGCATGGAAAACATTAATATTGGGACTCAGTTTTAAAATTTACATATGATTTCTTTTTATATACATTCCTTTTTGGAATGCATATCAACAGAAAATATATGTATACTTTAAAAATGAATTCCAATGTTTCTACGCGACAATAACGACGACAAAAGTTTCATCCTCACGTTATTATTATATATTGCCTAATGCTTAATCCTTTAATCCTGCGTGCTGAACTGTACGTGAGCATTTTATACTTTCGAGTAAATATTGCATTATTCAGTAGAACTGGAAGCGAATCCCAACCTTATTCTTTTGGTCATATATGACGAAAAACGCCCACGATATACATTTATATTCATCTTGCATGATCTTGTTATTTGTACAAATGTCGTTTTTAATCCTTAAACCCCCGAGAATCCGAGATACGTATTAACTATCATGCATGTTACTGCATGCGTGTAGTTTATAGTTTGGAAGAAATATTGCATGATTTACTTAATTTATATTAAGGGAAATTGCAGCTGGTTTTGTGGGCATGTATGAGAAAAACATTTACATTTATACATTAAAATTCATCTTCTTGACATTATTTTTTCGCAAATCCTTTAATCCCTAAATCTCCCTTGCAGTTACCAATATACTGTATGAAGTTCCCTTTCGACGAAATATATAAATGTGCTGTGTATAGTTGAAATGAAATTGCAGCTTGATTTTGCTGATGGGCATGTTGTGACAAAGTGCCATTCAACATGTACATTTACATTCATCTTGTTATTATATTTGTACAAAAATTGTGTTAATCCTCCAGATACGTATTAGTTGTATGTAGTTTAACTTTGAAGGAACGCTAAATAACATATGATGTAGTGAAAACAAATTGCGGCCTATGTTGTTGAGTGTTCTTGAGTGTTGTTATTCAATACATGTTTATGGTATTATTTTCATAAAGGATATTTTAATCCTTAAAGTTTCCATGTGCATTATATTTTGATGGAAGATAAACATTATTGGGTTGAAGGAAATTTCAGTCTGATTCTCTTGAGTTTATGAGGAGAACTTCCCATTTACTCCCATTAGCAGCTGCAAAAGTTATGATGATTATATATTTATGTAAAATTGACATGATCTATCACATCTTTTCATCTCTCACTGACCTTAATATATAACGCCTTTATATAACCACCAAATATTAATGTTTCTTCTTTCCTCTATCAACTTGTTCCAGCTAAAGCTTGTTTTGAAACGTTTACCGAAACGAAGCTTTATTGTGTCACATCAACTTGTTGTGATGCTTTGTCGATAATCGCTTGAGACATATGTTGACCGTCTTGTCGATTCGACCAATCCAATTCAATCTTTACCTTTTCTTATTCATAATTCAAGCATAATTTGCTTACCTTTCAATTAAAAATTTTGAGCACTTGGAAACCAAAAAATGCTAAAAAAATGTAAGTTATATGTAGTGATAATTGTTTGCGGACAAACTATAGCACGTATTGTGGGCTTTTTGGTTTAGTTTTTAGGAAAACAAAACTTTGTTTTGTGGATTTAAAAGGATTAAAGAAAAATGCACCTGTTACTTTATCGATATTGACGGGTATACAGAGAGTTGTTGATATGTTTTGCGGTGGTTTTATTGTCATCAAGTATAATTTGCATATGTAGTAGTAATTACTGCATTTCACAATACGGGTGCCACGTTGCTCCATGCGGTCTGAAGTTTCACATTCATAGAGTCGTTTCGTGGTTAAGAGCGAAAGATTATATACAGCTAACACTACGTTCACACGAAACCGGACCTTTACCACTGATCTGGTAGCTTGGACTTGATAGAGCGTTCTATTGAATTAATTCAGCCAACTTTTTATCTGTCAAATTCTATCTATCTTCTATATCTATCTTCCTATTTACCTAACCCTCCGAAAGAGAATTACAATGCGGCTAAAGCCTTGTTCACACTAACAATTTTGTCGGCGATTTTGTATTTTTGGCGGATGCAAATGAGTGAACTCGCACATGCACATATAAGTATAGAGTCGAAGTATAAACAATTCTAAGTCTTTTGCATGTTATTCATTCGATCACATTTGCCAGGAGGAGAAAAATCGCCGACAGAGTTGCTCGTGTGAGTCAGGCTTGAATGACGGTGTTTAAATTAACTTTATTATCAAGGAAATGTCTTTTCCTATAAAAATTGCCACAGTTTTCCAAATGAGTCTTGAGAACACTTCAAACACTACATATAATGAAACCTGAAGCGGCCATTGTATATATTGCATGTGGCTTCATTATATCCATATATTTTCGCTTCCGTAAAGGTACCTTCACTCTTAAAGCAAAAGACGTAGTTTTCCTATGTAGTGAAGTGAACGCACAGGGATTAATGGGATGAATAAAAGAAACCCTTGGCACAGGTTAAGCATATACCAGATGTGTAACTTCATAGGACTTCGTGTCCTCAAATTTCCCTAAGCTGTACACGTCATGACACTTGTTAGGAAGATGGCGGCATAACATTTGTACTACCATTCGTATTACCAAATGACGAATTATCACGCGAGCGACACTTGCTACGAAGATGGCGACCGTGGGACAACCTTTTTACTGAAGTTACACATCTGTTCATACTTAATCTGTGCCCTTGGTTCCTTTCTCTCTTGGTTCCTTGTTCTTTGCACTGTTCTCAACAGAGGCTGGTAGCTCCTAACTTACTACCGTTATATTACGACAGAGAAATGAAGGACTTGATATTTTTCTTTAATTAATTAAGGCTCTATTCGGAGATACAGACTTGAACGTTTGCAATTTTGTGTCTTTTGTCCACAGTGATCCCACCAAATCCAGCTTTTACTTTTCCCTTTTTTAAAACTAGCAAATTTCAAGCATCCCACTTTAACCGCAGAGTGAAACTATGGAACTCGATTTCGAAAATTACTTTCCCACCCTAGTTTTCTAGTCTTTCTCCCTTTAAATATTCACTCAAACGCATGTATAATAATTTAAATAGCCATTTTTTATGTAGATCTGCCGTGTACGTGGTCCATCGCGGTTGTCCCTGCCAAATTTACTGGACACAAGCTTAGCTGTTATTATTTCTGGGGGAGTGCCCTTCCTGGGACTTAGTGTCTCATTCACACTTATCCCGTTTGGGTTCTTTTGCTTATGTTAGTCTTAAAACTTGTTACATTAATTCCGTAAGTATATTAGTAGTTAACCCAAAGGTTCTTAAAAACAAAAAATCCTAGTTAGAAGTATTGTATTCTATCTACCTAACATAGTATTCATTGCATTCTCCTCAGTATCAGTATCAGTATCAGTATCATCGGGATTATTATTCATGTCAGTGTCACTATCAGACTTAGCAGGACAGCCATATAGTTTACCGACTTGTAATATATCTAGTTTACTCAACCCTATCCTTTGTCCTATGTCGGCATCCGGGGTTTTCTTCGGAACAACCGTCGGCTTGCTCGTTTTCTTTCCGAAGATCTTCCGAGGATAATGCATTATAGAACCGTAATCGTAGCCGACATCTTTCGAGTCGATCACACGGGTTGAAAATTTCTTAAAGTTCACTTCATAATCTGTAATAAAATAGGAGCAAACAATTATTCTTTCGCATTCTTTTCTTTAATTTGTGGATTTTCTATTGATTTTAAAAGTGCCAATTTTTAGTCTTCCCCGCGACTAATGTACAATGTATCATATACATGCATGTATTTAAACAAAAAAACAACAATATTGATTTACCAACATGCATTTGAATCAAGCTGCATGGTTTTGAAGCTGGCCATTCCGAGAACCAGTGGTGACGTTGTACCAATTCAATGGACATCTTCAATGTGCAAACTGCCAGTTTCATGCAATTGTTATTTACACATTTTGAGAGATGGTTTCTTTTCAGTTTTTAAAATGATGTTCGGGTAGGAAACAGTGTATTCTGATTAGAATGATAATCAATGAACCCAAAATTTTACATGCTTAAAAAATGCAAATAAACATTCGGGTGTGCAATTTGCATACCAACCTGAGGAGGTCTATTATTGAGTTAACTTGACAGAGTATCGATTCAAATTCCTATATATTTCACGAAGGAGGGGTGGGGGTACTACTATATATTGCCACTACTATATATTGCCACTATACTATAGATGAGCGACTGTACTTTGATTTGACGGAGTTGCAGTTGGTTCTCTCCTTCGAGCTCCGAGGATTTTTATATACCAAAAACTAACCCCCTTAGCTGGGCTCCGTGATTACACGTGGGATGCATATTGGCAGTCAGAGGCACCCTATAGTAAGCCTTTGATTCGGTCACATTTGAGCTGCGTTCTTCGGTATTCGACTCTCAACTAAAATAAAGGATAACCATCCGTATTCCTTTCCTCTAAAATGAACTTAAATACATTCTTTACCTTTTTTAACATTTCCCCAAACTATTTTGACGAACTGATCCCTGTCTGGCCTTGACTGTTCATGAAAGAATCCAATTGCATGACCAATTTCATGAATTATATTCCCAACTCGACATCCGTGATGTTTGTTTCCCACGATGAGATTTTGTTTTCCTCCGACGCGTCCCACGTATGAAGAGCATCTGAAGAAAAAAAAAGGAATATAAAAAACACGCCAGATTATATTTTGCATGCAGATATTATTTCGATATTCTTGTATTCTTTCGATTCTATTATATACAGTACTATTCGTATGCAATTCTGCTCTTCGCTATTTTATTTCATTTCTATTCTATTTCCTATTCTCTATTTCCTATTTTCTATTTCCTACTTTCTATTTTATTCTACCTATCCCATTCCATTCCGTTTTGCTTCATTCTCGATTGTATTACATTTTATTGGTATAGTATTCAATTTTCTATTACTAACCCATTGCCTTGCTCGAACTGAACATAGTCTTTCTCCTTTTCTCGTTGTTTGAATTTTAAACATGTCTTTTCTTCCCAGTGTTTTATGGCGGCTTTAACAATGCCTTTTCGGTATTTGTCTAAAGTTCAAGAAAAGTCTGTAGCATTAAGAACTGTAGACTCGGATTACCGTTACTAACGTTACTAAACTATTTTGTAAATGATTAGACGTGCAAATACTCGGATTCTCATTTCAATTTTTGAAGATTTTACAACCATACACGTTGTGATTTTGGTTGCATTATCCAAACAAAAAAGAATGAGAATTTCAATTTCTAATTTTAGTTACAATTTTGATAAAGAATTTACTGCATCTCCGAAAATGTTCTAGTGTGTGATTATATTATTTTAAAGCTTATAAAAGATGCTGACAACGAATAATTATGATACCTAAATATCGGTGCACTGGGGCTAGTAGTGATTGGTTTAGTGACGGTGTAAGTTATCTCATAAATTACCACATGTTCTTACAGCAACCTGCATGGATGTAATCTATCACAATCGTACAACTGAATGCTAGGATTTTCCATTGCCGTGAAACCGTATGAGAGAATGAAACTGCATGGCCGTTATCGTGCCACTAACTTTCTCACCAGCCAGAACCGGCCGACAATTTATAAGGAAATAAAATATTGTACAAAATCTGAAAAAAGAAAACATCTTGAAAACCTAATTTATGGACTGAAACAAAATTTTAAATGCATGGTTATAATTATTTCGATCCTATTAAAAAATAATCAGAACAAGGTAATGATGATTATTATGATCATAATATTATGATGATGATTATGATGATCATAATTATGATCATGATTATGATGATTATGATGATTATTATTATGATGATTAGTTGATAATGATTATGATAATTATATGATAATTATGATGATCATAAGTATGATCTTGGTTATGATGATAATTCGTTGATGATGACTATGACGATTATGTTGATGATTTGTTTGAAATGACGAAAATTGTAATATGATCGAAATTAACATAACCATTTAAAATTTAAGTCTTGTTTTATTATGGATCCAATATTTTTTCCATTTTTTTCTCTCCATTTTCCGGCATTTTTGCATTTTATTTACTCTCAACCTAGCCTTCTCCGCAGGCAACTCTTGTGGCATCCCAAATGGCAAACTTTTGAAAAATCCCCATCAAAAAAGAGCAATACTGTCGCGAACGGCGAATTAATGTTGTTTTGGCCGAGTAGTAATAAAATTAAGGGGACCCAAGATCCTCCTTTATCCGCCTTTCCACCGACCCAATCCCCGTAATTTTATTACTACTCGGCCAAAACAACATTAATTCGCCGTTCGCGACAGTATTGCTCTTTTTTGATGGGGATTTTTCAAAAGTTTGCCATTTGGGATGCCACAAGAGTTGCCTGCGGAGGAGGCTACTCTCAACCAACCTACGTCCTTCCTGATGACGTAATGTACGATCCCTTTCGCCCATGTTCTTCGCACGTCTTTAACCAAAGCACGTGAATGCAGTTGATCGTCTGCTTGTGAACCTGCATCTAACATGTGATTGAGTTTCGCCATTTGATCGTTTGTTGTCAGAACATCGCCTTGGAAATAGTGCATTCCAAGGTTCTCTTCACCTGAAAGGGGAATAGGACATAACTTTTAACGCACCTCCAGAAAGAACAGTTTATAGAATTGATTTAACTTCGCAGTATAAGTATTGGTTTAGTTGAGTTCACGTATTACAGTGCCCAAACGAAGTTAGGCTTCGCTTTATATTCGGTGTGTGAGTTTGTTAGTTTGTTGGTTTGTTCGGAATCATAAGCCTTGTTATGTATTCAAAACTAGTATTGCTTCGCGCTTGTGGTGCATTTGTTTATGCGCCAACGTGCAGTTTTGCGCATGCTCGCGGGAACCGCAGTAATGAGGAGTCGAGTTAAGCCAATTTTCCACCAGGCGAATTTTTTCACATTTCCAAGATTTGGTTTTCGGTTCGCTTCGCGCGAACAAATTCGCCCAGTGGAAAATTGGCTTTAGGCCCATACGTAGCAACTACAATATCTACCTTTCGTTATCTCGTCATCGTCCATCATTTCATCATCGACTTGGTCCCCATTATTACTCTCATTCATTTCACTTTCCATGGAGGTATCATTTTGTAAATTGTTATCCAAGTTCTCGTCTTTCTTTGATATTACTGCCTTTATTGTACGACCTTGAAAAATGTCAGTAAAATTTTTCTTTACATTTTCAAATATCATGATTTTTCTGTGTTGGTTGGGCTAGTATTCCAAAGGTCGTAGGTTCGATTCCCACCGTGGGCAGGCATATTTTTCAAGCTTGCCCGGTGTGGATATACACTCAGAGTAACATCACAAGCATCATTTTCAAATATGTTTGAAGAAATTGACAAATTGTACTGGTTTGGTCATATATGCATGCATGCTAATGATATTGTTGCCTTATATACTTGCGCAGGGGCTTTGGTGCATGGCGTAGGTTTGAGAATATGCAAACGTCTTTAATTAATCTTTAACCGTAGGTTCGATTCCCTGTATTTCGGTTTACTCCCATAATGAAATCTCACGGTTTGTTCGAATTGTGCGAGACTGCATATATGTAGCATGCATGGGAATTGTGGTGTACATTTTCACAATAGTGCATGTCGTATAATTGTAAGTTTTTACTTTTTACAAATAAAAAGGAATACCTTTTATTGAAATAAGACATAAGGACAGAAGAACTAATATGAAAACACGCATCAAGAATTCTCTGCCTTGCTCTATAAATAAAATTGTAAATAAAGAAATGTCAAGTAAAGTATGCATGCATGCATGATATACACCATGAAATACCGATGATGTACACCGTGTTATACTGATTTGGATGAAGTTGATCGTACTTCCAAGAGTAAAAGTCCCCTCAGTAACATTCGTAAAGGCTCTCCGTTCCTATTTGCCATCTTCAATCGTGATGCATTGTGGTGTAGATAAAGTTAGTAAAGTATCTGTACCTGAACATGCATACGTACAAACACGAGAATACATATATAGTAGACGCGAAATTACACAATAAGCTGGCGTCGCTTGTTTCTGAACAAGGAGTAAAAACACTTCGATATTTCAAAGGAAGGCACTTCATTACCTATATAATAGTGGTACTAGCCTCCTGACAAATTGCCTTCGTTCACCATGGAGTTGTTCTCCACGTTTTTCAAGTATAGTTTAGAAACAAACCATATAGAAGTTAAATACGGATACACACACTCACAAATCTAACCTTATATCCGTTTTTCTTTCGCCAGAATTATACTCCAAGGCTTACGACCTCTTCTTCATGTTTTCATTTCAATGAACTGGTAACAGAAGCGCTTGATATGATTGGAAATTTAAACAAACAGGTATGCGAAAACTGAACCTTTGTTTCGCTCAGTTGGAGTCCGACAGTTTTATGAAATTGCGTTTTGAAATTGCGTTTAATTAAAGTAATCGCAATTGCGGGTAGGAGATGGGCAAGAGACTGTTGATGAACGTCGTAGTTTTCGAACGACAAATATACATATAGTGGACTGGTGAAGAGTAGTATGTGCATGAGAGTTGAACGTTGTTAATGGACCTTTCCCCTTATAACTAAAATTTTGATCTAGACAAGTCTAGACAGAAATTTCATCACAGCTTGAAAGAGCATCACAAAAGTAGTAATATTCCAAAGTTTCGTTGCGAAATGTTGTAAAATGCGGATAATATAGCCTTGCGAAATTTGCAATTTTCAGTCATTTTGTATTACAAACGGGAAATTGATGCCCCAACACCCGATTGGGCTGTCAATTTCCCGTTTGTAATACAAAATGACTGAAAAACGGTAAACTTCGCAAGGCTATATTATCCGCGTTTTACAACATTTCGCAACGAAACTTAGGAATATTACTATTTTGGGATGCTCTTTCAAACTGTGATGAAATATTTGTCTAGATCAAAATTTTAATTATAAGGGGAAAGGTCCATTAATCGACAAAATCGAACAAGTTGTGTTTTAAGATTCTTGGTGGCGATGCTTTCATTTCTCACACTTTTCTTAGCGTAAACTAGCAATGGAATTGTTTTATACAGTTTGTTTTTATTGGACTCGTCAAGGGCGAATGACCATGCGCCTAAAGAATATTGGACAGCGGCTAAAAAATGACTAACGCGAGTCCCATGCTTCTAACTTGGCCGTCTCTTGTTGATTTTGAGCCTTAAGAAGCGAGATATGAATCTACGACCACGCGTTTCCGACACGATGAAAATTTTGTTGGGGACGTCAGCTAAACAAGGAACTAAGGCTAAAAGTTTGCTTTCTTGTACAGTTGTATATTATATACTAAGTGCGGACTATATTCGAATGAAACTAGTCATGCATGTTACATGTCTGGAAATTTTTTTGTAAATATTCGTTGTCGTTGGGCTCGTGTATTGCCTTTATTGTTTTTAAACTCAAATCAAATGCGTGTTTCACTTACTTTTTACTAAATTTAGTTGGAGCTGTCTAGCTTCAAGTCAATCTTGTCGGCTCCCTCCGTAGCGCCGCAATTGGCTTTGCCTTTGGTCTTTGTATTTTATTCACATATCATCCAAATTGGAATCATTACGATGATCCCATGTCTGTTCTTTCTCTTCTTTTGCCCTTTGTTGTCATTGTTCGTTCCCTAAGTGCGATGGGTGATGTGATAAGAGCCGTAGAGTTAGTAGATGATATGCTGGTAATGAGAGACAGGTGTCTGATGCCATCTTGATCATATATAAGTCCATGTTTAAATCACCGAGCTGGTTACCTGCATGCCGAATTGACATGAGCTAACTGCAAACATGGGTCAGAAGATACAAAGCCTGATTTGTTTTTCCGAGGCCATATTTCTCAAACACTTCTTTCTAAGCCTCCACTCTAGTTCACCCGCGTGCGCGTACACACAATTTCTCGTTTTCCCAATTTCCACTCGTGTTATACAGCTATTTACTCGCTGGGGCACTGTGCCCCAGACGAGTATAGGTTTCGGCACGCATTTTTGGTGGATGTCAGATTTCCGATGTCAGATTTCCGATCGTCGTTGATAGCCACAAAATAGAATATTAATGAGCTGCCTAATTTCCCCCCAATTATCCATATAGGCTCCTGCCAATTTTACCCAAATTATCCATACATAGCCCTCCATTTTGAGGAAAATTCGGGAAAATTGAACAATTTTACAAGGAATTTCGCATGGAAACAGCAACCTTCGCAATTCGCAAGTTTATAAAAGTTTATACGTTTGACTGCGCTGCTTTATATTTTGAGAAGAAAGCGACACCGTTCGATTCAGCGTAAGAAATTGTACTTACGGATGTCAAGTGTATTACTAAACACCCGTATTGGCGTATTCTAGCGATTTATGGCCTTTGAAAATGAAGCGAAATTGTATTGTTGAAAAATCGCTCGCAGTATGTTATTTGTTGATCACAAATCACTCGCACTACGTTTGTCCTTGTATTTGTAATGCATAATGGCGCAAGAAGGATAAAAATACCACCGTTCGATTCAGCGTAAGAAATTGTACTAATTACGAATGTCAAATTGTATTACTATAAAACAACAGTGTTCTAGCGATTTATGGCCTTTGTCTTTGAAAGCCAAGCGAAATTGTATTGTTACCAATCGCTCAAAATTATTAAACTAATTATAAAAAAATGCAGTACGTTTGACCCTTGATAACTTTGATATCATTGGTTTTCTCTTTTTCGGCCGTATACCAGTGGATTCGTCTCACTTCTCGCTTCATTTTGATAGCATTTTGAGCCCAAAAGCCCCCAAATATTTTATTTTGAACGTTTTAATTAAAGCGAAGTTTAATCCTAGACCAACTGGCGGCTGACAGTTTTGAAGAAGAATGTAGCGTACTAAATATAACTTTACTTGTAGGGCCTACCGCATTTTAGTACTGTGTTATTAAGCCTTTCGCGCTCGTGTTCGACTTTTCCGCTTAGCTCGGGAAAGAGCTGTGTACTGTATGTATCATGTACATTGTACAGTAATGTGCGTAGTTGTATAGCCCCAGCGAGTTAACGCTCCGTAGAGCGTCTTGTTCAATTAAGGTTGTCCACGAGCAAAGCGGAAAGTCGAATACGAGTGCGAAAGGGCGTTGTGAAAACCCGGAATATCACGGAATATGGCGGAATATCACGGAATATGGCGGAATATCACGGAATATGGCGGAATATTGCGACATTTTCCCGGAATATACCGGAACATCACGATATTTTCCAATGGTAGCCATGGGCATGTACTAAAAGGCGAAACGTCGAAACGAAACGACCGAAAATATAAATTACAGGAAAATTGAAAAATGCGGATACGGACGGACGGACGGGGGGGACAGGCGGATGGACGGGGGGACAGGCGGATGGACGTGGGGGGGACGGGCGAATGGACGGGGGGGGGACGGCTTCATTTGACACGAAACTCAATTTTAAAATCAAATCCGCGTTTTGTTGAAAGGGATATATTAGGATATATTATAAAAGACTATTATTAATCGTAATAAATTGTCCGCGAAAAGTTGATAAAATACATGTGGAAATGCGGGTTTTTTCAAACCTTCGTAACGCTTGATCGGATAAAACGCGGATATGCTGCAACTTTCATGCTTAATTTTCTCAGTCATCTGGGTATGTAGTAATCTAATTTTATGCAATGTAATGTGCTGTTTTTTCAAGTACTTTTCAATGCAGTTATCGGTTTAAATATAACTCAAATTCCCGTTGAGATATGACAATTGCCGTACGGACTACTTTTACGCAAACGCAAATTACAACTGCAAATTTCATCAGCACATCACATTGGCATAAAATTACATTACTACATGCCCGGATAACAGAGAAAATTAAGCATGAAAGTGGCAATTGTAGCTAATTTTCGTTTGCGTAAAAGTAGGCCGTACGGCAATTGTCATATCTCTTAACGGGAATTTAGGTATATTTAAACCGATAACTGCATTGAAAAGCCCTTGAAAATATAACACATTACATTGCATAAAATTAGATTACTACATACCCAGATGACTGAGAAAATTAAGCATGAAAGTTGCAGCATATCCGCGTTTTATCCGATCAAGCGTTACGAGGGTTTGAAAAACCCCGCATGTATTTTATCAACTTTTCGCGGACAATTTATTACGATTAATAATAGTCTATTATAATATATCCTAATATATCCCTTTCAACAAAACGCGGATTTGATTTTAAAATTGAGT